CACACACACACACACACACACACACCTCGGATTAGCCACTCAAATCTACCACGGAATGGTAAAAGCAACTGCAGAAGTAACAACAACAACAACAAGGACAACATCAACAGCCTGAACAACAGCAACAGTAACAACAACAACAGCAACAACAACAGCAACAACAACATCAACAACATTGTCAGGGTCGAGTACAGACCATAGAGGGTGACATCTCGGTAGTCGATTTGTCGTCTTTTACTACGGGATTCTCGCTGCTTCTGTGAGGACCTTTGTCTCTGGCAGGGACAGGAAGCCAATCCAGTCGGACCTTTCTGGGTGAACATTGGTCGGTAGGAAATACACAGACAATTGGGGACCGTCGCTGTATGGCAACTGGCCACTAAGCTGTCAAACTAAGAGCTGGCATAATATTTATAGGCCACAGAGGGAGTGGAAGTGGGAGGGGCGGACTTCTCAAGACAGCATATCTTGTGACCTAAAGCAAAAACAACCCCAAAACTAACAACGGCGACAGGAGACCAGCATGTTTCATGGACAAAACAGTGCACAGTGTCAGAAAACCCAAGCTAACAATCTATCCTATGAATCGTATTTATACGTCAAATGATATAATATATCTGGCTTACGAGTGATAACTTTCGTTCCTTCTATTTTGTTTACATCTTTATATTCAGTGGCGGCTCGTGGTTTATAGAAATGACCGGCGGTCATTCACGTCGACTATTTTTCCCTCCCCCACCCCCTTCCTTCACAACACACACACACACACACACACACACACACACACACACACACACACACACACACACACATACACACACACACACACACACGCACGCACGCACACACACACACACACATACACACACACACATGCTCTCTCTCTCTCTCTCTCTCTCTCTCTCTCTCTCTCTCTCTCTCTCTCCTTATTTTATACCCCTACTTTCGCCATCCCCACCCCCTCCCCCACTCACACACACACACACACACACACACCACAGTAAACATTGTAATAATGTGAAAGAGCTAAAATATGCGGTAGCGTCAAGAAACAATATTATGAATGTTGTAAGATGGAAGTTACTGAGATTAAGTTTAGTGTGATTTATACGAATACAATGTTTGTTCCCCCGAGATGACCTGTTTCTGTCCAGACTATATCCAGTGTGTTTCACAGACTCCTGGTATGAGGAGCCTGTATCTCTTCATTTCATGTGATACTTGAGAACATTCCTGCTTCATACATGGTGCGAACATTCCACGAAGCAATCTGGAGAGATTTGTAAGACAGAAAAGGTTTTGGGTCAGGAGGGTCCTTTTGGCCCTGTCCGCTATTCCTCATTGTTACTGCTGATGCAGAAGCTCCTCCGCCTCCCAAAATCGAAAAATAAAAAGCCGTGTTAGTCTGTGTTTCTGTAACTGAATGTTTTTACTGGGTCAGGTTGTCGGCCCTCTGCAAGCTAGCACTTTCCAGGAGGCCAGACCTATAAACCTTCTTGTATTCTCTGCTCCTTTAATAGTAAAACTATGGATGCCCCCCACCTGCCGGGGCGTGTAAAAGCGCGTAAGAATTCCTAATACATTCCGCAAGTTTGAGAGGGCATGAGTTACTCCCCCCCCCAAAAAAAAAAAGATTGACCAAGCCACTTTCCAAAGGGATCTAAATAATATGTTCCTTAACGTTTGCAGTCATTTTACGTTTGAAAATTTGGTTCTAGGGGAAATGGCTCACTTCGGCTTTTACTCCCCCCCCCCCCCCCCGCACGCCCCCACTTTCCTCTCATTTCACAAAGGCATGGTTCACATACTGTATTTTTAAAATACCCTTAGGCAGCGTAGGTTTTTAACATTTATTGAAGCTTGTGCAAGTTCTCGAAAGCAGGTTCTGTCTTGTTTGATTGTTCTCCAACACATATGCTCATTTCTTAAAAGTACATTTTCAGCAAAAATCATGCATTTGGGCCAAAATCCTGTTAAGCCAGTGCACCCGAAAGTAGTTTCATTCTTGTTTGTGATTGTATGTTTCGAGTTGGAATTATACGGCTGCGCCGAGGAGCAGCGACTGCTGAAGCCATTTAACCGTGGAACAGCGACCGGGAAACAGCGACTAGTACATGTATTTCACTACATTTCTTTGTTACAGTTGAACTTGGTGTAATCGCCTACAGTATCGAATACAATTAGACCAAACATGTTACATTTCGTCTCGAATTTCAGTAAGCTTAACTAGAGCTCAATCAAATCTCCCGCCAATCTGTTCATAAGGAGGAACAAGAAAGAGAGGAGTTGATCACCACGTAAAGCAATAAGGAGCTGTCGCAGGGTGAATTTTAAAGAAAAAATTCTTTTAAAATGCTGTCTGCTCAGCAGCAAATTTTGAACAGTCTCCAGAATGTTCTTAGAATTTGAACTTTTGCATTTCTCTCTTTGCGCTGTCCTCTTCAGGTAGATGTCATCATCTTCAATTTAGATGCTGCAATTGCAATTCTCCGTTTCATCTTTGTTTTCCGATTTGATATTGTTTTTCCATGATGGGTTTATCATACTCCTACACGATCATACTCTTACTCACACGGTCACAAACACACACACACACACACATCCCCACCCCCCCCCCCACACACACACACACACACACACACACATATATATATATATATATATATATATATATATATATATATATACAAACATACATACAATAACACACAAATACATACACACAAACACACACACACACACACACACACACACACACACACACACACACACACACGC